ACAAAACCCTAAACCCTAAACCCTAAACCCCAAGCCCTAAACCCTAAACCCTAAGCCCTGTCCGTCGCTGCTTCCTGGGATCAACAGTTACCTTCCGCAAATGGTCGAGCCAAAGCCCCCTGCGTTGTGTAGGCTGTGGCGCTGAGGGATTAGGGTTTAGGGTTTAGGGTTTAGGGTTTACCCGGTTAGAAACCCCCTGATGGTTTCTTTGCTGCTGTTCATAAAGCCAACAGCTTGCAGCAAATGGCCCCAAAAGGGCAGCCGCATATTAATGGCAATTGTGGTTAGCCGAATGTCAATCCCTGAGCCACAAACCCTAAACCCTAAACCCCAAACCCTAAACCCTAAACCCTAAAGCTTTCAATAATCAAATTAGCTGCCGAGAATAATGTTCTTGTCCCCCTCAAACGCCATCTCCGGCAGCAACAGCAACGTCAGCGGCAACAGCAGCAGCAATAGCAGGACCAGCAACAGCAGAATCAGCAGCAACAACAGCAGCAGCAACAGCAGAACCAGCAGCAGCAGCAGCAGAAGCAGCAGCAGCAGCAGAAGCAGCAGAAGCAACCAACCTGGCATAAATTGTCTAACGTCAAGCCACGGCCTTTTAGTGCATGTGCCCCAAGCCAAAAAGGAAGAGAAACATAGCACTCCATGCTGGACAAACAAAACCCTAAACCCTAAACCCTAAACCCCAAGCCCTAAACCCTAAACCCTAAGCCCTGTCCGTCGCTGCTTCCTGGGATCAACAGTTACCTTCCGCAAATGGTCGAGCCAAAGCCCCCTGCGTTGTGTAGGCTGTGGCGCTGAGGGATTAGGGTTTAGGGTTTAGGGTTTAGGGTTTACGGGGTGGAAGCCGATGAGGTAGGTTTTGTCTGCGGGGTAATGAGCCTGGGGAGACTCTGTGACGACAGACACAGGAAAGTATTCTGCTGCTTCGATCCACAAAGCCCAGCTGCGGACCTGCAGCAGCAGCAGCAGCAGCAGCAGCAGCCACAGCAGCGGCAGCAGCAGCGGATGCAGTGGCGGCGAACACGCGCTGCAGCAGCTGCTGCTGCAGCAGCTGCTGCTGCAGCAGCTGCTGCAGCAACAGCTGCTGCTGCTGCAGCAGCTGCTGCAGTGACTGGCTCCGTCTCCTGCTGCTGCGGGCGGCCAGCTAGGGAGCGCTGCAGCTGCGGGGCTCGACAGCTTAGCGTTTAGGGTTTAGGGTTTAGGGTTTAGGGTTTACCCAGCGTGAGGGCAGCAGAAGTGCTCCTATCTCTTCTGCTGCGAAGCAGCAAACAACTGCATAGAGTCCATACAGCCCGAGCAGCACGTCGCTGTACCTGAACTGCAGCAGCAGCAGCTGCTGCTGCTGCTGCAGCTGCAGCAGCCGCCGCAGCAGCTGCAGCAGCAGAAATGAATTGACAAGCCACATGGATGGCAGCAAGAAGGAGACAACGCGCATGCTGATGTAGGTAGTGCCTCGAGTAAACAGAGACCTGTCTCTCTTCCATTCTTTGCTGCTGCTGCTGCTGCTGCTGTCTTCTTCTGCTGCGGGCTCTTTATGGCGTTGGCGGAGGCCAGAGGCGTCGCTGCTGCTGCTGCAGCTGTCTTTCCCCCCTGCTGCAGCAGCAGCCTTCTCCGTATCGCTGCTGCTGCTCCTGCTGCTGCTGCTGCTGCGGCTGCGGCTGCTGCTGCTGCTGCTGCTGCTGCAGGCCTTGTCTTTAATATGCATATTTGGCTTCTCCACGTCCTCCCAGCAGGGCGAGCGCCAGATGCTGCTGCGGCTGCTGCAGCAAAAGAAGACAATGTTTAGCAGCAGCAGCGGCAGCAGCAGCGGCCACCACAAGAAATACGCAAACTCCACCAGCATTGTTGCTGCTGATGCTGCCGCTGCTGCTGCTGCTGCTGCTGCTGCTCTCGGTGGTTGGGTCCTGCAGCAACTGCTACCGCTAGTGCCCTGATTGTGAACCTGCCACTGGTGCTGCTGCTGCTGCTGCTGTTGCTGCTGCTGCTCCGGCCCGTGCTGCTGGAAGCTGCTGCACACAAGGCAGCGCAAATCTCCGGCAACACAGGGCGATCCGCAACTGCTGCTGCTGCTGTTATTGCTGCTGCTGCTGTTGCTGTTGCTGCTGCACTTGCTACCGCTGCCGCTACAATTGCTGCTGCTGCCTATTTTATTGCTGCGTTTGTTGCTGCTGCTGTGGTTGCTGCTGCTGTTGCTGCTGAGGCAGCAACGAGAGTCACTCGGTGGCTCGTGTCTGCCAAGTGTGTTAACAGCCAGCTCGTTTCCTGCTGCAGCAATCCAAAACCCTAAACCCTAAACCCTAAGCCCTAAATCCCTAATTCAAACGCCGGGAACTCGACGGCGAGCTCAAGAATCAAACAAACCTCAGGTCCACCTGGGGGGCCTCACGGGACAACCTGCTGCTGCTGCTGCTGCTGCTGCTGCTGCTCTTGCTGCTGCTGCTGCTGTTGTTGCTGCTGCTGCCCTTGTTTTTTGGCATTATTGGTAATTAATTATTAGCTTCCGGGCTACTTCTTAGAGAAGAAGCAGCAGCAACTTCGGGCCCACAGCAGCAGCTAGTGGGTGGCAGCCGACCAGACACGGAGCCCCAAGCCCTAAACCCTAAACCCTAAACCCGAAGCCCTAAACCCTAAGCCCTAAACCCTAAACCCTAAACCCTTTTACACCTTCTTCAATGCTAAAAGTGTCTTCAACTACCATGCTTTGAGGCAGTGCAACTCCAGGTGTGCAGCAGCAGCTCGCACTAACGGAGGGTTTAGGGTTTACTGTTTAGGGTGTAGGGTTTAGGGTTTAGGGTTTAGGGTTCACGGTCCAAAAAATGCGCATTGTAGGGTTTAGGGTTTAGCGTTCGAAGCTCAGAGCAGCCACCTCGCTGATCTCGGGTTTATGCTTGGGGCAAATACGCCCGGCCAGACTGGCTAGCTGTAGCTAGCTGTAGCTGGCTGTAGCTAGCTGTGGCTAGCTGTGGCTAGCTGTGACTAGCTGTAGCTAGCTGTGGCTAGCCGTAGCTAGCTATATCTAGTGGCTAGCTATGGCTACTCATATCTAGTGGCTAGCTATAGCTAGCTACAGCTAGCTAGAGCTAGTGGCTGGCAATGGCTAGCTATAGCTAGCTATAGCTAGTGGATAGCTACGGCCAGCTAGAGCTAGCCATAGCTAGCCACAGCTTGCCATAGCTAGCCGTGGCTAGCCACAGCTAGCCACAGCTACGTGCACCTAGCCCCACAGGCAGTTAGCCGTAGCTAGCCACACAAATGCCACAGCTAGCTAAATTCAGCACCTTCCTTTGTTGTTCCATGGGGTCTGGCAGCCACAGAAGCATTAAGCATCTCTGTGACAAGCTAGCCGACCAGCTAGCTAGCCAGCTAGCTTGCTAGCTAGATAGCTGGCTCGACGGCTAGCTTGCTAGCTAGCTAGCTAGATGACTAGCCGCGCCTGTTGTCAGCTGGACAGCTGCTGCAGTTGTTGGGGTGTCGTCCACTGGAGGCAAAGTTGGGGTGTACAGACAGCAGAGCAGTTGAGACTTTGCAAATTCGTTTTCACTTTGGACAAATAAAAAGACATTAAAAAGTCTTTTTCTCGTTAATTCATATCAACGCAATTTGTCTTTTTATATTTATGCGAAAAGAGAACTTTGAACTGCAACAGCAAGCGGCTTTCCAGGTGTACGTACACCTGGCGAACCGGGTGTACGTACACCTGGCGAAATCAGGTGTACATACACCTGGCGAAGAAGTCAAAAGGCACAAAATTTGTGAATTTGAAAGCCCTAAGAGCTGAACTTTAGCGGGTTCTCCGGTGTACGTACACTGCGCAAAGCAAGGGCCTCTAAAAATGAAAAAAAAGTTTCTTGAAAATGCAAAATATCTCTGGTGTATGTACACTGCGCTGTGGCCTGCGCCTCCCTTGTTTGGGCTATTTCGGGGCCTTTTTCGCCGAAATTAAAAACAAATAAATATACAAACAAGCAGATATTAAAAAGGTCTTGCTAAACGCTCTTAATGAAGACAAGCGACGGCGGCAAGTGAAAGAAAAAAGAATTAAAAAGAAAAAGAAAAGTCCGTAAATGCACTTGCGCGTGCAGAGCTGCGCACGAGCAACTACGAATTGATTTTTCGTTTCTAATTCATTAATAATTAACTTATTACCGAAAATTTTACAATTATCGAGAATAAATGAATTATTAATGAATTTGTCTGTTTGCGGGCTCAGCCGGACTTTAGGCTTGAGCTGTACTTACACCCCAAGTCGGGCGCCCGTTGCGGCGCCGCACTTGGGGTGTATGTACAGCTCGAGCCTGAGGCTGTGTTTGGCGCCACTTTGGCAAACAAATGATATTCTAAATTGGACTTAGTTGCATTTCTGAAGTGGAGCCGCATTTTGTCCAAATAAATGCACTTTTTCACTTCAAATGGAGTCGAACTTCCGCGGAAAAATACATTTCCCGAAAACGCTCTTTCAATTGTCCAAAAGCCCCAATTCTAAGACCCTAAAGGCCCCGCCGAGGGCCCTGTGGGATCTCTACATTTGCAAAACTCCTAAAGGCCAAACAATTAACTCCAAAATGAGAAAAAGACATTTAAAATGTGCAAAATGAACATCTAATGGTCACCTAGTGGTCACGGAGTGGACCTGTAGTGGTCACCGGGTGTACATACACTGCGTAGTCACAAATCAAGAGAGACAATTTGCATGCATGCAAATGAAAAAAAGGAGTATAGTAATATATATATGAATATATACAATATACATATAGATATACATATATATGAATTTTGTATATATTAATATATATACAATAAATATAATATATTGTATATGTAATGTATATATATACATATTACTATATATATATATATATATATATATATATATATATATATATATATATATATATGTACAATATACATTATTGAAGAAAAATGCAGCACTTATGCATGCAAATGCATTAAAGGCAAATGAATGGATGCGGAAACAAATTTAAAAATAGCTTTACAAACTATTCATGAAAACTGAAAGAACTTTGAAAGCCAAGTGCACAGCCCAGCAAGGCTTTGCTGGAGGTCGAATAAAAGCCCCTATATCAATATTTATATTTACATTTTTAGTTTATATTTTAGTTTATATTTGTATTTAAAAAGGCGGAAATAAATAAATAGGGGCGCCTGCGCCATCCGCGTCGAAGTGTATGTGCCTCTGTCCAGATGTCGGCATTTTAGTGGTCTATTTGGCATTTATTTATTTACTTATTTATTATTTTATTAATCATTCTTATTTATTTATTTATTTATTTAGTTTTATTAATATGCCCATTTAGAGGTAACAGCTCCTTGGGGGAGGTGGCGCAGGCCCGCGGCGCAGGTGTACAGACACCCCAAAACAAGACTGTGGAAAGAAATGCGAATTAAAAATATGCATTTTCACTTTAATTAATTGGATCCTAATTTATTTCAAGAACAAATGCAACAAACAAAACCCTAAACCCTAAACCCTAAACCCTAGCCAGCCGGCGACAAAACGGGTACATATAGGGGGACAAAGGTGAGCAGTTGTTGTTGGGCTGTACGTACACCGCAATAAACGGCAGCTAAAACCGCAGCCAGGGCCCCTTGCTAAGGAGCTCCTGGCCACTCCACTGCAACCCTCCCTGCTGCTGCAGCTGCTGCTGCAGCTGCTGCTGCAGCTGCTGCTGCTGCCCTGGTGCTGCCGCTGCTGATGCAGTTGTTGTCGCTACGCTACGCCTTCTGCCTCTTCCAGACCCTGGGGGCCCCACCTCCCTTGCCCCTCTCACAGTGCCCACCGGGGACCCCTCATGGGGCCCCCAGGGGGCCCCCTGGGAAACCCAGGGGGCCCCCCGGGGGCCCCCTGGGGCCCCCCAGTGGTGGCCTTCCTTGCTACGCAGTCTGTGGGGCCGACGATTGAATGGAAGGACAAATGAAAACGCTAGAGAAGGAGACAGCCGTTTGCCGTTGCTGCTGCTG